CTTAATGTTGAATGACTGAATAAACGAGGTGTCAAAACACAAACAACTCTTATTTCTTTACTTTCGAGAACTATGCAATTTTTTTCGTGCTCTTGGTCGGATGTTTGCTTGTTTCTACTTTTGCTAATTTTTTCGCCTTTATTGACCAAACATCCGCCCTGCATGGAGTTTTCCTGTTGATAGTGTGCGCAACGGGTGTGAAAATTTCGCGCATCTTTCTTGAAAGTGACGAATACTTATGTCCCTTGTGTACCCTTTTATTGAGTTAAAACCTAAAAACTACATCAAGAAGAAACCATGACTTTCCTCCAAAGGGAATTTCTGCCGTCAAATGACACTTAAACAACAAAAACTTCTGCTGGAAATACTTTTTTTTCCTGCATTTGTTTATCTTTACAAAACGTTAAAACTACCATGTTCGAAAGTAAACAACAAAGCCACAATGATGTATTTTATCGGTTCGTTTGAATATCGCGTGACGTTTCTGGTTAAGATAAGGTGTTTGAACGGCCACCGGAAGTGGACTTTTTGCATTCTTGGGCAGTGGTTCTTGGGCAAATTTTCAGGCAGATCGTCTTATCAATACAAACGTGGTGGCGTTAAGGCATATAAAAAGGGAAGAGGTCTTGCTTGCGGTTGCTGTCCGTCGCTCAAAAACGCCTGAGCTTAAGTTAAACTTTATACGTGGCAACGAAAACGTCACGCATTCCGCGCAATCTGAATTTTCTGGTTGAAACACAGGTAGCCCAAGCTCACTATGAGAGCCCTGAACAACATAATCCTACTTAGCTAATTAATTATTCACACAGCAAGAAAATTATAAGACGTTGTATGGGGAAACGTTCTTTGCTCACTAAATTAGCAAAATGTACATTGAATATCGCTTTGAAGCTTCCCTTTAGCGTCTTCTTGTTTTTCTTTGCATTCTGACTGCATTTCAGACCTCCTAGGCACTGTTTAAGGACTTTTTTTGAGCGACAGTTTTTCACCCAGATGACAGAAGAGAGAAGAGAACAGTTCTCTTCTCTTCTCTGTACATTTTGCTAATTTAGTGAGCAAAGAACATTTCCGCATACAACGTCTTATAATTTTCTTGCTGTATGAATAATTAATTAGCTAAGTAGGATAATGTTGTTCAGGGCTCTCATAGTGAGCTTGGGCTACCTGTGGGTGAAACGGCTTTTTGGGGGGGAATTTTCTGTTTAGAATATCCAAGTAGAAGCAGCGAGAAAGTAAATTGTCATTTCCTAAACTACAGATTGTCATTTCGCAAACTACAGATTGTCATTTCGCAAACTGCAGATTTTCATTTCGCAAACTACAGATTTTCATTTCGCAAACTACAGATTCTCATTTCGCAAACTACAGATTCTCATTTCGCAAACTACAGATTTTCATTTCGCAAACTACAGATTTTCATTTCTAGACTAACTCACCTCAAACATCACTGAACACAATGCTTGATGAATAGCGCTTGGGTCACAGGAACAGTAAGATAGACTGGTGAACCTGTACTGACAAATGAAGTATAATGCTGTTCAGATCAAAAACATTTCCAGGGTCTCTCTTCTTCCGTGCTCCAAGGGATGGGAGAAGGGAGGTCCTGGGAACTACTGTAGGATACCCATAGGTCAACAAGTCACAAGTAAAGGTAAAAAAATTGAAATTAAATAGTAAAATGTACAACATAACAACCAAAAGAATGTTACTAAGATACAACAGTGTGAAAGAAGTTGTTTGTTTTCTCTTAAGAATGCATTACTGTTGTACCATTCTAAAATCCTAAAGAGTGTACACAGTCAAGCAAGTGAACTGGTTATTAACTTTGTTCAGCTTATAATTATACTATTATTTAAATAAAGGTAAAATAATTTTTTAAAATAATGCTAGCAAAATGTAAGCACTCACTGGATTTGCAGGAGACACTTGTGAGACCAATGGCTCTTCCTGGAGTTTTGTATGCAACCAGTAAAACCTAAAATCTGTCTGAAAAAAGGTATAACTGCAATCATTAATAATGGTAATAGGACTAGTGAGTGGAGTCCAATTCGGTCTGTTATCATATACGAGTGATTAACAAAATCGGACGACTGCGTAGCCAGAGTCTGATTTGTTTTACAGACTTAATCATAACTATAACAAAATTCTCAAATCTGATTGGCTATCAACTGTTCTGATTTCAGCACTAAAAGGACACTGTAATAGGACGGTACGTGTCATGCCTAAGTAATTGGGCATTATGCGCCATCGCACACGTGCACTTAAATGGCTTTTTGTTTTCGCGCTAGCAAGAAAACTCTTGGAATTTCTTGTGTTTTTTATTTTCAAGAGGGCTAAAACATGACAAATTTTGTTATAGTTATATGATTTATTGGTAACAGAACTTCATGTCGTCCAATTCGGTCTGTAAACATACTAGTGATTAAACAAATCGGACTCCCGCTACGTGGTCGTCCAATTTCGTTAATCACTCGTATGATTACAGACCGAATTGGACTCCACTCAGTCCTATTATGTATACCAATTATGAATTGGACAACACCAAGTTCTGTTACCAATTTATCATAACTATAACAAAATTTGTAATATTTGAGGTTTCTTTTAAATTAAAACACAAGAAATCCGGAGCTTTTTTTGCTGGCAGTGAAGAAAAACCATTTAAGTCTGTGCATGCGATGGTGCGTACTGTCCAATTACTTAGGCATGACGCATACTGTCCCATTGCACTGTCCTATTAGTGCTGAAATCAGGACGGTTAATAGCCAATCAGATTTGAGAATTTTGGTACGGTTATGATTAGTACATGTAACTGTTTGAACATTTTGATAAGATTGCAGTGACAGTTTATTGCTGATATTGTCCTTTCAAAGCTCATTAAAACAGGAACATGCTCTTGAAAGACTAATTATTCTTTACACAGAAGTTGTCATCATACAGTTTATAATACTTATTCTGGCAAGTGTGCAACTCACCTCACTGTCATAAACAGGATGTCCTCTCCAACACATCACATCCAATACATAAAAAGTAAATGTCTGTTCATTAAAGATACAATCCAGAATTGTGTAGTCTGAACACAAAAATCAATCACTGTTAGTAATTTAAAAAAATTACAATATATATAACATTATACTGATATGCAATACAAATGTCACACTCACTTGAAATAGATTACGATAAAAAGTGATAATTAGATCATTTCTCTCACTTCTGCTCTTCCTTACAATTGGCATTGAGGTTTAATCCATACACAAATAGATATTATCTAAGAACAGTTTTTTGTTTTCTAACCCTGGTACAACGTTCAAGGCAAAAATCTCAGTGTCACTCTGTCTCTGTGCTCACAGGTATACCTACATGTGTTTGTACAAGTACTTGAGCAACAAGGATGCAATGCATGGGGTATATGACTAGTCCTACATGTACACTTGTTGAATTTCACTTGGGAGGGTGTCGCAATACCTTTGCTAGATTGTAGGTACCTGTAGTTACTTTGTGCTAAATAATTGTAAAGAGAGCTGTGTTAAAGTCCAGTGGACTGTGTTCCCTTGTGGCTTGGGGATCGATATGTGTACCATTTATAAGGAACATTCAGAAAAGTACATGTACCTCCTGGTTTGAGAGTCTTGGGACTTCCTCCTGGGAGTAACGAAGAGAATTTATTGACACGGTAACCACTCTTGGTATAGGCAGCTGTATACCCCTGTTTGATTAACAGAACAATTACACAGTACAGTACAGCTTTGATTCATAGACTATAAAAGTATTCTCGACTGTGAATACATTTAAATTTTACATGTTGCTCACAAAGGAGTTGTCAAGACCCTGAATGATCAAGCTAAACCTGCAAGCTGGCTACTGACGTAGTTCTAGACTGATAAAGAGAGTAAAAGTATAGTTGAATCTTGATTTTTTGAACCCCCTTGGAAATAAGGAAAAAATTACAGTGTTTGGGTTTGGTTTGGATTGTCGAAACAACCAAGGATTCAAGAAATCAATATTCCACTGTATGGTTTTAAGATACATTATACTTTCACCAACTAAATTAGCAAGAATACAGACAAGTACAATGTAAGCCGCACCTGGAATGTTGGTGAAGGAGAGACTTACATTTGATGCTATAATGAGATTCCTCTTGCCAACTGGACAGACTACCATGAGCCATTCTTCCTGTAAGTCCTCAGGAATGTCCACCAACCACTCAGATAACATCAACTAAATTGAAACAAATAATAAACCAAATAACTCTGACTGGACTACCTTGTCCAGAGCAGGCAGAAAAAGGAAGTAGGTAAAAAAATGCAAGAATGGAGTTTGTAAAAAAAGACAAACCAACAGAGTTGGGCATTAATTAACAAATGGTAAAATGGCTCACTGTGCACTGAGTCATAGTCGCACGCAGGAGGTTGTTAATCGTGAAAGAAGCATACTTGTAAGAGTCACTTGAGGCGTTAGCCAAGTGCAACTCTAGCTTCTTGAGTGTTTTAGTTTAGCAATCCTCCCAAGTGCAACTATAATTCAATAGTACATGCTGAGCTGTTTACCATTTGTTTATAGCATAATCCAAAGAGAAAAACTTTTAATTTTGCTTACAGATTGCAGAGGAATGACATGAGTTCTGTCATCTACTCGCGCTATGGTGCGTGTAAATCCTTCATTGCAAATTCTTTCTTTCAAAAAATATTGTTTTGCTGAATAAGTAGTTTTCCCTCTCAAAACCTTTTACATTATTTTACATTCTTTGTAAAACTTTTTTTCAGTATTGAGACAAAAATCTTTGCAAACTATATAAGGGGTAACAAATAGAGTCACATAGAAAGTGATGCTTACAGCTTTGAGCAAGCACTAGATTTTGTCACCATTCACCCATGGAAAAATAATAGTACATGGGTAATTGACCAATCAGAGTTTACAATTTACATGTACTTTTGTTATGTTATAATAATATTATAGATTCTCTTTTTCTTCTCCCTATGTCCCAGTCTGCTCATTCATACATATAATTCTAAAAATAATTTCTCTTCTAATTCGGTGACTTCTATTGATGGTGTTTAAAGAAGAGTCCATATTAAATGCCAGATTTCCCACATCTTTTAGTTCTTACTCTTTAATTCAGGCAGAATTTGGTCAATAAAAATTAAATGACCTTACATATAATATTATGTAGATGTTTGTTTGGGTTACAAATTGTCAAACAAGTTTCCGAGCAACTTGTGTCACTGACTACAAGTTTCAGTTTCCACCAAACACTTAAATTGCACCAAAAAAAATAATAATAAAGATCAGTGAAAAATATAACTATAAAACAACCTGATATGCATATGGGTTGAACCTTTTCTTTTTGCAGTCACTTGCATCTGTTGCAGTTTCCATCTCCTAAAAAGAATTTGATTAAAAGGCATTAATGTAAGGATGACAAAATACAGCAAGACTTACACACAGCCCTGTAATCTATGTTTTTAGATATAACATTTATATGCCTGAACTTTCTGACGTAAACTTTGTTCCTCCTGGTAAGTTTGTTGGTAAATTGTAAGTAACAATATGAGGAATGGGGCTGGTAGTCAATAAGCAATGAATTTCAAAGCCTTTTAAAAAGGTTAACAAACTTCTTGTTACGTGAAAAAAATAAGGTTAATGAAAAAATAACAACACAGAAGTAACTTAACGGAGCTGAAACCAGTTGTGGAATTGCAGAGATTTAAGGCATCCTACTGATGAACAGTGAGAATATAAAGATAATTATTTCAAGCAACAACAATGTTGCTGTCTGTCCCCTTTCAATACCTCTGTCTCCACATCTTCAACTTCTAAAGACCCTTCAGCAAGTTTCCTTGCATAGTTCACAAAGTCTTGTCTACGCCTAGAAAGTATCTATAGATTATTATAATTTTCAGTAATACAAAAAAAACTATTGAATGACAAATTTTTCAAGAAAACAGGGCATTGATATGCACTTGTACTTTCTGGCCTTTAGGGGTAACACTCAAACTGTGAGATATGAGAGTAACACATGGATGGATTTTTCAAGGGACCTAAAGGAGCGGTTATTAAGTGTTTTGATATTTAGCACAGATATAGTGCAATAATATGTTGTAGTTAATTTTTTATCTCAGGTAATTTTTATTTTTCTTTTGTTTTGGGGTTGTAATGTATGCTAGTGAAGTTGAAACGAAAGAAAAATAAAAAATTACCCAAGATTAAAAAATTAACTACAACATAATTATATCTAAATATTATACACGGTCTGTCAAGAATACAAAAACAAAGGGTAACATTGTGCTGTTGCATGTTGCCTGCCCAGAAAAACTAAAGTGAGTGCAAGACAAGCATTATGAGTGACCCAAGCAAGAGACAAAACAAAACCATCTGACTTTAAAGGACTCAGTGAAACTCTTGATTTCGTCTGGCCACTCATAAATTTTACCCTTTCAAAGTCTTTTAACCAGGTTGGGTTTTCAAAAACCTTTAATTTACCGGGGTAACTGGCAGGAGGTTAATTCACTATGGGGCAAACTCAACTTCTAATGGGGCTACATGTAACTAGGAGGGGACTAACTCACTATGGGGCAAAACTATCAGCTTCCACACAGGGTGCAGAGGAGTTATTTGTGACCTTCACTGCAGTTAATTTTACATTTGATAGCCCATACTGCCTTTGTTTACTGCAGTCAAATATGAACTTGATTGGTCAAACCATCATGTGATCATGTTACAAACCTGGTAAAAGCTCGCTGGGAATGAATATCCCCCAAATAACCTGCGTAGCAGGAGCTTGGAAGTAGTGGGCGCAAGAAAGAACAGGCATACGAGAGGGAGACACGCGAGGGAAGAGGGAGTACCTGCCTGGAAGGCCCACTAAAATGGTTTCAACTCACATTTTGTGTGTAGATATTCCCAGTTGGTCGAGAGGCTCCCAAGGGAAAAAGTAACTGCTCTGGGCGAGAAAACTGTCCATCAATAGTACATGGACAACATAGTGAAGGTCTTATATTACACCACCAGCTACTGAAACCACTAAATGGTATAATCGAGGTTGAGGTCTTGGAGGTCACTTTAATCTAGTTTATTATTCATTCAAAATATTTCCGCGATTCTGATTGGCTAAAAGCACACGTTTAATTCACCATAACCAGTTACTGATGACCAAATTTGGAATAATTTTGACTTTAACAAGGAACTGACGTCAAAAATGCAGCGTTCGTACAGGTTAAGGCACCATTAACCGAGAAGACCTGGGACGAGGTTGAGTTGTTTTGGTTGTGAACTTGAAAAAATGGCGGACATTTCACTCGTTTCAAGAGTAAGAACTAGGCGAAAAACTAGCTGAAAACATGGCAAGAACAGCGAGAAGACAACTCGAAGGGCGACATCTGCTATTTGGAGAATATTTGCGGAGCTGGACAAACCCAAATGTACACTATCGAAGATGAACTGAACATCGATGGATCGATGGAGGTAAGCATGTTTTAGCTATGTTTTTAAACTAGGAATTATTTTGAATGAATAATAAAACAGTTGTTGAATTCGGCTTTTGTATCATATGAAGAATTATGGAGATCTCAGAGGGGTGTTATCCGCCTCGGCCTACGGCGATAACACCCTCCTCGATCTCCATAATTCTTCATAAGATACTCAGCCTCATTCATTAACTGTTAATTAATGGGACTATGTGGCCATAATCTCAAGGAAAAGTTGGAGTGCTCAAACAGTATTCATGAAGGAAAAAATTGACATCAGATACACATTAGCAGAAGCGGGCAAGAGTCATTCCCTTCAACTGTTTTCCAAAGCACTGGATAATAATTATTTACCAGGTTTGTCACACGATTGCATGATGGTTTGTTCATATTCGAATTTATAGTAAACAAAGGCGACTTGCGCTCTCAACTGTAAACCTTTAAAACTGCAATCAAGGTCACAAATACAGTGTAACTCCTCTGCATACTGAAAGGTCTGAATTATCTTTCGTTGATATAAAGTAAATTAGCTGTGGAATAGTTTCTCTACTTCTTCTGCTCCTCAAGCTTTCTTTGTCTTCGTAAATACTGATCTGGAGTATTACTGGGCTTAACTTTATATTGGACCATCCTGCAAAGAAATATCAAATCACAAATGAAATGTCATAACATGTTGTGTATCAATCAATTTCAAGAGCACCGCGGCTGCCTCCCAGGTACATTTGTCCTTAAGAATCTTGAGAGAAAAGCCCTCAGTTGGTGGGGTAAAAGAAGAAAACAGCGAATTATCTTAAAGCTTGGGCTTAAAACATCATACATCAACCTTTCACGATGATCAATCCACAGATTATAATTACTTTCATCAACAAACGGTATGAACACCAGCCTAAAAGATCGTTTATTAAAGTCATTTTTAAATAAACATGCAATGTACCTCGGATGAGGGGCTGCAGTATCGTTTGGTTCAAAAGAAACGGTGAAATTGGCTGCAAAAGACTCAGCAAGTCCTTCCATTTTAACGGAGGTTCAACGGGGAGAAAGGACAGTTGGCACGTGGTGTATGGAACCTCAATAATCCTCCTTGGAGCTTTTTCGTCACTCGTTTGGCACGTGACTGCAATTGGAACGCCTGGTGAAGACGGTTTCTGCAAATTCGGTATTTCGTGTGTTGAAACAGGGATGTTTGCTGGTGGCGGACTCTGTTTAGTAGCTGGAGTATAAAAATGGGCTCGTTTGTGGACTTTCTGGGTCGTAATATCTGGGTACGTAAGTGGAAATATACCTAAAGTGCGTTGTTAAAACTCACGTCTCTGCTAAAACCTTTTGCCCTTAAAATTCTGGCATAATATTTTTTGCGGCTTGACTACAGAATACAGGGCAAATTTTCTCGGTATATTCGGGCCAAGTCGCACTAGAGGGCAATTTCGGATTTCTTCTGGACAAATTCGACTTGAAATCGGCCAGTGGCAAAAAATTTTTCCAGAAATCTACAGTCGCACTTAAGAACAAAATCTGTGAACAAAACACAACACCATGCTGTGAGCGCCTTGTGATTTTTACTTGTTAATTTAATGATATGCTGACTGTTATTTAGGCAGAATTTACAAACACAAAACTTGCTATTGACACGACGTATTCGCTGTCGACAAAATCGTTATCGAAGATGAGCACCATATTATTGGACTCTTCCTCGTCCAGTCGAATCGTGGTTTGAGATCCATTACACTGATCGGACAATACCAGGGGACTACCTTCGAAGGCTTTTACGAATGAACAGAGGAAACTTTGATTTGTTGCTCAACGTAATTCGCAACTGGCTGACAAGATAGAATGCAATACTGTGAAATTGTCTCACTCCGGAAAAGGTTCTTGCTTGTGGTTTGCTTCGCCTTACACATGGAAATTCGTATGACACAATAGGACCTGCGCTAAATGTCAGTAGAACTACAGCAATAGAGGCTTGTCAAGATGTTGTTGAGGCTCTTTATGAATTGAGGAGCGAGTACATCAAATTCCCAACAACAGTAGCTGAGACAATGAGGTGTATAGAGACATTTACGGACAAATCACGACTTCCAAACATTGTTGAAGCCATAGATGAGACCCATATCAAAATAATTTCTCCTAGAGACAGTGCTGTTGATTACTTTAGTCGAAATCAGCAACATGATTTTATAATTCAAGCCGTTGCTGACGGTAAGGGATTATTCCTTGACTTTGCTGCAGGTTATCCAGGAAGTCTTCACGATGCTAGGGTATATCGAAACAGCTCCCTTTATCAAAGAGCAAGCAACAAAGATATACTCAGAGAACCTTTTGAAAGAATCGGTATTACAGATATTCGCCCTTACCTGGTAGGAGACAGCGCATACCCTATCTCCCCATGGCTTATGAAGCCTTATCCTGAAGCCACGCGTGACCCTGGCGAGATAACTTTTAAAAAGGAACTGTCATCTGCACGAGTAGCCATCGAGTGCACTTTTGGCCGCCTCAAAAGTTGTTGGCAACTTCTACAAAAGCAGTTGGATAGCTGAATAACTTTTGTGGTGAAGATTACCATTGCTTGTGCAGTGCTGCACAACTTTCGCATTAAAGTTGGGGACGAATGGGAGGATGATTTCTACGATTACGATGATGACCGTGGAAACAAACAGAACAATGACTTCATGCAGGACGGGAAAGATATAAGAGAGTTGCTAAAAGACAGTCTGATTTTTTTTTTAAAACTGAGCATTTTCTGTCTTCACAATAAAAAAATCAGTTAAAACTACTTTCATTTGTCTCCATGATTTTGTTTCCTCTATTCGTAACATAAACAATAAACATGATAATGGTTGTCTCTCAATAGTCAAAAATAGTCTTGAATTAAAGTTTATTTATCATTCTGTTCCTTGTCAAAGATTTTCACAATTGATCCCATAAACTGGCCCATCATGGCAAGCTGCTGAGTGTGTGTTTGTTGCAAAGAATCCAAGAAGGTTGCTACTTTCTCTCCCTGCTGCTTCACATCCTTTAGAGCCTCATTGTCACTCTCTTTATCAGGTGCTTTGCATTTCGAAGCTCGTTTCCCTTCTTCGATGCTTGTCTCCTTTCAGCTGGAGTTTCTGGCACGCTGGGGCTGGATGAAGTACTAATCTCGCCATTAGTATCACCAGATCCTGCATTAATTTCGGTGGCATTTTGCCGCTGATTCCCTCCTCAGCTACGTGATTGAAGGTTACTACGTCGTGGCAACCGAGGATTTTATCAACCTTGTCGTAGTACACGGATTTCCTAAGGCTTCCGCCCGTTTGATTTTTGTTACAGTCTTTAGCGTTCTTATGTTGTTCAATGATGTACTTTATTTTCCAAATGCATTTGTCGGCCGTCTTGTTGGTTCTGAGTGTTTTCGAAATATTCTCGGCGATCCGAGCCCACGTTTTCCTTGACTCTCGCCTTTCTAACTGATCATGCTTTTCAGCCCATAGTTCAACTAAATGCTTCTCCTCTTCTTTACTCCATCTTTTCTGAGCCTTCTTGTTCTCGGCTGACGAAGATGCATGGCGCGAAGAAGATGGGGTTGATGCCGGCATTGAGCTATCTTCAGTGAACTGGAGGGATTCTGGCAACGAGTCAGTACTCGTGGTCGAAGGAGATGGGCTGGGATTTCCTCGATCATAGAACATTTAAGGGCCTGGCAAAGGAAAGATCCATCCTGGTGGATATTGTGGATATTCGTATGGAAAAAATTGGTCACCCGCGCCGAGATTCATGTTGTTGCGAAATGAGAATGTGATTAATTTTACAACAAAGTCTATAGCATAGAGACTCTGCTAGATATCACCTGCCAAATCATTTCCGAATTAAAACACCCTGGATATTGTTTTCCAAAATTTGTTTCAATTTGGCCTGCTCCAGAGGTAGTCGACGGTATCTTTGAAGTTTGTCCGTCCGTGACCAAATTTCGTCCTTTGGTGAACAAACCGGTTGCACTTGGTTTTTCATTGTGATGACAAATTTTTGACATAAATAAACAGTTTTGTCCTCTAGTGCGAATTGGCCCTTCGTTGGGGCACCGCAATGAACGAGCCACCGAGCCGTCAAGCCACTAAAACTATATAACTTCGACTGAAGAGCCACCAAGCCGCCAAGCCACTAAATTATATACCTATAATACACACTAAAATGTATACCTTCTCTGTCTGTCTTACACTTAGATGTCTTATATCCTTCTCGTTATTTAAACACTTGTTATGACTAGTGAGCCACCAAGCCACTTTTGTTTAAGACCTTAAAATATGGCCCTGTATTCTGTAGTTGCTCCTAAACTTGGATCAATGTTTTAGTTAAATCCAACCAGTCCCCCTCTGGGCTTCTTCAACTCCCTGGCAAGCATCTTTTTTGGTGCCTTGCATAATAGGTGGCAAATTCCTAGGGACTGGGACACTTAAGCTGCCAAATGCGCCGCGGTGGGGACAAAAAAGAAGGCAAATGCCCCTTCCTCAATCCACACTGTAGCAGTGTTTATTGGTGGCACAGTCGAACACTGCACAGACAGCCCAAGCTCATTACATGAAAATGGACGTGACTTTTGCTTGCGAGCGGTGTTGTGTTACGAACGGTTATTTACAAAGGCTTGTATGGGATGTAAACGATTTTTCTCAAAAGAGATCGGCTTCAGAATATTGAACTAGGCTCGTCCAAACTGCGATGGACTTGTTCACCAATCGCATAGTATGTCAGGTAACTAAAATAAGCCCAGCGAGGGTAGCCAGCGGCCTGCAGTTGACAAGCAAACAAACCCATTAGCCATGCTGGCTATCCTCAGCAGGCTTATTTTAGTTATCCAACATACTATGCAATCGGTGTGATTTTATTTTAAAACATAACATTTTTTCTCTCTTTTATGAAAACCCATTTACATCCCATACAAGCCTTTGTAAATAACCGTTTGTAACACAACACCGCTCGCAGGCAAAAGTCACGTCCGCATTCATGTAATGAGCATGTAAACGCCCACTCTCAAATAAACACCGCACCCCACCCCCATCTACACTGTTAAGTTTGTATTAAACGCCCCTCTCTAATAAACGTCCCCTCTCTAATAAACGCTTTCAGTGAAAATTTCTCCAAAATACTAGGAAATGGTGAAATAGAGCAAAATCAATCAATTTAATAATTTCATTGCTTGATTAACATCGGTAGTGTATTATGTCATGTTCAATTTCAAGTTCAAAGTAAGGATACAGCGCTCTTTGATCTTCTTGATCTCGGTGCTCAATATGTCAGTAATTCTTTTCTCGCCTGTTGGAGCTTGATAGCATTCAGGAGTGACAAGACCCACTTCGTGTTTTCGTTTTCCACAAACCGTTGGTCGGTAACGAAATTCAATTCAGATGCAGCTAGTTTGTTAAAATAATGCCACTTTAAGCATTTTTAAAGGGAAATTTTTCGTTTCAGGTTAGTGTGTGCCTTTGTAGTAACGCTATTCTTATTAAGCTGCGACAAAACCATTTATGATTCTTATTTTATCATTGTTATTTATGTTGGTATAAAAAGTTCGTAGGCAAAGAAAACTGCCGTAAAATATTAAATCAATAATAGTGTGTAAAGCTATCTGTTCTGAATGGTTTAATAATTTGAAAGGAAGTTCTTCATATTATAGATTGATCATACATGATCACAGAAGGATTAAAATCATTACCCCTAAATTTTATTCAAATCCTAGATCAAAAGAAAAAACGTCCATTGACATATGTTGATTGCTCCCGATTTCCAAATCTGCTTGTGTTTCCTGGAAAGTCCTCCATGTTTAGTGTTATTAGGATAGGGAACCATGTGCATGTCAAAAGCTCGGGGGTGGGGGATACATGTAGTGAAATGCCCGACCCCCAGGCCATGCAAAATTTGCTAATGCCTAACCCCCGGTACTGACAAGGAAGGCAAATGCCACTGGGCTGGGCACAGTTGGATTTGATGGATGTATAAATTATTTGATCTGGTCTGAGTTTTGAACCTGCCTTCACATTTATTAC